ACGTGGCGTGGCCCTGATACGCCGACCCATCGCAAGTCGGACCACACTCCTTTCTCGTCACAGTCCTACCCGGTCAACGTGACGCCGCTTGTAACTTCATCCGTACGTGCGAGGCTGCGGCCGCCTCAGAACCTCTACGCTTGTTCTGCCGGCGTTGCATAGCCTTCTTTGACCCTGGCCCGGTCAAGCTAACGCGTGCCCACGAAGTGCACGCTCACACACTCTCTAATCAACGCAAATGGGACGCGCCCTCAACTATCACCGAGCGCGCTTTTCCTGTAAGCTGCAAAAATGTGCCCAAATACCCTTGTAAGGGTATTCGGGCCGACAGTTTTCCGAACCTTATTAAGCGACATCCCCGTCGCATCGGGCAATCAACGCTATGCACAAAAAACACATCTTGCTGACAAGGAAATGACCAATCCGGTTCACCGGTTCGACTCTGTTCGAGGTTGTCTCATCAACCTGCGCCCGTCACGGCGTTCCACTGCCAGGTTTTCAACCTGGGTCTCCCACGTCCTGGCCCCGGAGCTAGGGGATACTTTGTTGCGTACTACAGCGTACTACCCGCTCCCAGATAGTAGGTTGATAGTCCTCTCCCTTCGTCGTAGACCTCTGCCAGTCCACCGTTGGGTGTCCTATTTAGTCATCGTCCCGCAAACGGGGTCATAACTTAGGATGCGGTCCCTAATCGAGACCTCTCAAAACACAGGGCGCCTTGAGCCGCCCACATGGTAGTGTCTACCATCTCAACTCACACGAACGTCCGGCCTAGAGTCTAACACAGGCGGCTTCAGGTTTCCATCTTAGCCCACCATGGACCGGTCGATCACGCCGGATGGTGGCGTTGTTATCTAGCGATGGTGCCCTCGTTGGTTACGCAACGATAAGCAATTTTTCCTATCTGGGCACCCGGAAAAGGATCCTGACTCTCGACCTAATTGACCCCACTGACCTCCCCTCCAGCTAAACCTCTCCGGGTGGCTGACCCTTCAAGACTTAACCTTCGGTAAGTCATGGTCCCGCTGCCAGGTTGTGCCGATCAGCGGCCCTCGCTGGGAGTTAGATTTTACAGTTCCAGCGATGCTAAGTATAGCCCCTTAGCCTGGCCTCACAGTACGTCCCTTAGACTAACCCATGTGGTCTGACACTTTCTTTCACAACAATAATCAAAGGATCACATACCACCTTCCACGGGACTACGTGGAGGGATAGCGCCTTTCTCAATAGTCCACCAAAGATTCTCAGTAGTTCCACAGGGTCGTGCCTCCCTTGCTCTGATCAAAAGCAGGTAAGGTCACACGTCTTTTGGGGATACTCACAAAACTTTTCAAAGTTCCAACATAACTGTCAGAGGTTTTCATCCATGATTCTCACAAAGTATCTGGTCTTTCCTCGTCAGACTTTACATACATGCAAACATTATCATCACTTATAGCAACTTTTTTTAGTGCCCTCACAAATTCCCTCCTGTTAAGAACGTCCAATCGGTCATTGAACTTTCCTCTCTTTTTTCCAATCATACACAAAAAGCACGCAACTTTAGTTGTGATCTTTCCATTTACCATCATTTTATCTGAGCAAAATAAATCATGTCATCATTTCCTTAATAATCTGAAAGCATTCCCTTCTCTTATACTTCCGGCATCACTTGTCAATAGGACAGGGAGGCGCAAGTACAGTGGAAGAAAGCGCAGATCAGTTCACCTCACAGTATTAATCTCATCACACTATCATCCATATGGGCAAGTCCACAAACCGAGAGTGAGTGTGACACACCACACACAACACAGAGACAAAGGTTGAGATTCACGTATACACTCAAGACATGGGGCCCCGCACTGTGCAAAGGCTCATGTCCTTTATAGAACTTAAAATATTATACAAGGAGTTCAGGTATCCCATAAGGAATCAAGGTAGTGAAGCGTCGAAGTATCGAAACTCGACGTCCGCTCCACACTCATGAGTGTTATTTTGTAAGGACGTTAACACTCTACATCACATTAGCGAAAAAAAAGAAAAAATCGTCAATGTCATACTCAGCGTTATCTTATGTACAGGAAAAGGTTTTAAAGTCGATAACATAGCGTAACATCTCACTACTGGCTCAATGTACTGATGTACATGAGTCTGATCCAATCCTCCACGTATCTCTCTATATACAAGTAGCCACCAGTCTGTGAGTCAGAGAAGTCCCGCACATGTTAGACTCAGACCTTTCCGGACCTTATTAGAAAATCCTACTCCTGATCACTCATGACCTCCTGCAACTGCCTATACAACTGCGCCCTCACCCCATCACGAGTCTTAGGAACTAGGTTTCCATCTCTATCTCTCCATACCCCAGATGACTCCCTGGTACACAATCCATTCGCCTCGTCTTTGAGGTTCTTGGGGCAGTCATCAGATCGATGTTTGCCTCTCTTGCAATAAAAGCACTTGCCAAGCTTCTTCTGGAACAACTTCTCTCCTTCCAGCGAGGGTACAGATGACGAGACTGTCGAGATCCTGCTCGTGACCTCTTGCTGTGGGAACTCTGAGAAAGTGGGGCAGACCGCTCTATCACCTGCCCGTAACACCTGCTCCCCAACTCGCTCCTCTGGCCCTGACCCAATGGCCCAAGATCCCAGTACACCTCGTAAATCTGTAGCAACTGACACCTCCTGAAGCATGGTTGACTCCTGACAGTCCCTCAGGTCCACTCTCTGCTCAGTCTCAACCATGGTCTGGCCCACACTTTCCTGACCCTCCTGCTATCCCACAGTCTCTTTTCGAATAGTAGGTGGAACCTCCTCAACTCCCATTGCCTCAACTGGTGGTCCCTCCTGTGGTACTGTCGGCTCGTGTCCCAGTGTCAGGCCAGTAGGTAACCCCCACTCAAACTCTCCGACCCCTGCACCCTTTTCCACAAGTATTCCTGGCCGCTCCAACACCTCTTTGTCGATCAAAGGGATCTCCTCACCCTCCTGCTGGTCTGCCTTCTCCACTTCCTTTTCCTTCTTGAAGACCTCCTCTGCAGGTTGTTCCCTGATTTCGAACTTTTGGACCTCTGTCCAATCCACCACTCTAGTAGGGGCTTGCTCGGCATACTTGGCTTCGAGGTCTCGAATCCGCTTCTCCCACTCAGTCTCCTTAACCTGGAAGAAGGTCAGTTGTGCACACAAATAGGCCCTTGTTAAGGGTCTGGTTGACTTGTCTGACGGCCTCATTTTCTGCTGATACTCTCTCCATTTCTGCGTTTACTGCTGTCAACTCTTTGCCCTGTCTGTCCAGTTCCCTCTTCAGGTCCCCAGCCTTTCTTTCCCGGTCCACCCTCTGGCCATAAGCCTTCCGTGCCACTTTCGTCAGTCTGTCCCCAATCTTCAGATTTGATGCTCTGGCTGCAGCGAAGCCTTCTTTCATCACGCTCCTTAGGTTGAGCAGGTCTGTAGAGACCAACTTAACCCCCATCTCCTGATGTTGTCCACCTGATCTTCCTGTGGCGTCCATCAACTTATCGAAGCCCATCCAGACCTCTGAGAACAGAGGAGGGTCCTCCTCCTGAGTGCAGGTACCCTTTCCTTTTCTGCCCTCCACCTCCTCAGGCGCCTTTCCTTGCTGCATCTTCTCATGCAACTCTGCAAGATTCTTCATTCGGAGTTGAGTCCTGATCTCCAGCTCCCTTGCTGCCCTCTCTTTTTTGTCCAGCTCCTTTTCATCAGCAGACGGTTCCACTCTCTGTTCCTGCACTTGTGGCCCCTGAGGCACGTCCGACTCCATATCTAGCATAGGGTGGTCCACCTTCCTCTGAGTAGGCTGTGGAGGTGCGCCTGGACCCCCTACTCCCTCAGCCCCCTCTTGCCTGTAGGACTTGTGTTCCTTCACCTTTTCCTCCCTCTGAGTCCCTGGTGACGCGCCCTGCTCAAAGGTTCCCCTTGCCTCTGTCTCAGGTTCCCTTCTTCTTTTTTCCACACCTCTCCTCTCTCCTGCCTGACGAGCTGGAGTATACTAGTTCCATAGCAGCTTCTTGCAGTGCCCCCAGTTCATGGCAGATGCTACAATGGATCGTACGAAGGGTCTGCTATGGTGTCTCACAAACAACAGGAAACTCTCCACTCTCTGCTCTCCTGGGATACAGAGCTCGTCCGCATATCGATCATAAGTCTATAAGAACTCCCCCAGATTAGTGGAGTCGAATCGAATGGGCTGCTCATCCCTTCCCAATGGTGACGGATGCAGACCTTCCATCTTCCGCTCAAACTCCTGCCAGCTCAACGACTCTCTGACCATCTTAGCAATAGGGTCCTCCCACTCGCCTACACCTCGTACATCTCTCAACATCCTGGTGTTGTCCCATCCAAACTCTCTCGCATGCCGCTCGAACTCCATCAGGAACAGCTCGATGTTCCCTCCCTGGAAGACTGGAGGCCTGTCCTCTCTCCTGGTCCTCATCTGCGTCCTCTGTTGGGTTGCCCCCAAAGGGGTCCCCACTGGCTCTGCCCCTCCCCTCCCTCTTAGCATGGCTGCCCTCAGTGGTATCAAGCCTGCACAACAGGGAAGAGGCGAACAGAAGCACACAGAGGGTAAGCGATGTCAGACAAAACACAACAGGAGACAGACATAACCCTCCCACAGCTATCTCAACTACCTACCTACTCACACATATGCATACATATCCATACACACACACAAGTCTAGTCATAACCTATCATGCTATCCTACTGAGAGCAGTATCCGAAGTAATCACGAGATGACTCTAAGTGGTGAGATCCCTGCTCACCTCGTCTCGAGCCACAAACTTCTTCAGCCTCGAGCCTGACAACCAATCCTTCCATGTCGTCCTATTTAGCTCCTCAATTTGATACGCTTTGTGTTCTCCACACCTAGTGACCCTATAGGGTCCCAGCCACCTCTTGTCCAACTTTCGAGACCACTGTTTTTCCAGGGATGAGTCATACAATAGCACAACATCTCCCACCTTGAGAGGCTCCTTTCTCACTTTCGCCATCTTATCCCACCTGAACTTGTCCTTGGTACGGCTGTCCGCAGTCCTACTTGCTGCCTCCTCAATCCTGTCCTCAATAGCGTCGATCTGTCGTGCCCTCAAATCCAGCAGTTCCTCAAAGGTCAGATCAGTCTCGAGGTCCTGTCGCCTCCAGGTTTTCAAGAAGCTTTCGATAGGAAACGTCGCATGTGTGTCGTACCATAACGTAGCCGGTTCATAGCCAGTGCTCCTCCTGATAGTGATGTTATCCATAAAAAACGCGACCCTTAGAAAGTTTGGCCATTGGTTGGGCCTGCCATCGGTCCACTTGGCAATAAGATTTGTGATGGTGTTGTGCCCTCTCTCCACAGGTGCATTGGCTTGAGGGTGCGCCGCAGTCGTATACTCAGCGATTACCCCATACTTTTTCAAAAGAGCCTTCACTTCTGCACAGGTGAATTCGGACCCCCTATCCATCACAAACCTGGAAATAAAGGGGTAGCGAAGGTAGTACTCCTCAATGCATCGGTTTCAGCGTCCCGCCAGTCTTTGTGCGAATGGCCCTGCCATCCACAAACCCAGAGAGGTTGTCCCGCGCATCAAAGATGAAGTTGTAGCTCCCTATTCTCAGCGGCATTGCCAACAGATCCAGATGTACGACGGTTCCAACTTCATGGACGTACCTTGGGTGAAGTGGCTCTCTAGGTCTAAGAGCAGACCGTTCTTGGCATGGTACACAAGACTTACAATAGTCATCAATCATCTGCCTCATGCCATCCCAATAGTACAACTTGTGGATTTTCAGGTATGTCGTATCCGCACCTCTGTGGCCACCTGCCATACCGTCGTGCAGTGCCGCTATAATGTCGATCTGGCGAGCGACGCCACAAGACTACTCTTTTGGGGTCCTTCCCTTTGCTCCTCATGAACAGATGGTCATCCCTTACCAGGAACTTTGGCCTCATTTTCAGAACTCGTGCGCAAGCGTCCCTTTCTCGCATCTCGCACGAAAGAAGCATGCCCAGTTCAAGGTATACTCCCTCATACTTTTCTGCTCGAAAGGCTTCTTTAATCTCACCTTCCTCAAAGTCATCGTCCTCCCTTTCGTGGATCACATTGTCACCTCCTCCCGGCTCTACCTCCTCTTCCTAGTCTAGTACCGTATTTCTGACCGTCTCTTCCTGAAGCAGCGCATTTGCCAACAGGTACACCCCACCTATCATCTTCTCGTGCTTACCCACCTGTAGCGCCTCATTTTCAATTGTAAGTGGGTCTTCCTGCAGCTCGTACTTGCCAGCTAAGGCCAGCTCCATCATCCAACCTACGCCCGACATCCCCCAAGAATCCTCTTCAATATAAGGTTTGAGGACCAAGTCTGGCCATCGCACATGTCCTGGAGGCGCAAGCCACACGGGCCGCCTAGGAGTAACATACTTACCTACAGCCAATGCCCAAGAGTTGATGTGAAGTCTCACATCCTCCTCACTGTCCAGGAACCCGTCGACTGGGGGAGTGTCCTCGATCACTCCTTGATGGTTCTTGTCCCAGTCGACTCGGCTCAGCCCGTCTGCCTTATTCTTGGTCCCAGGAATTCGCTCCAACTCGAAGTCGAACATCCAGATGTACATCAGCCACCTTGCGATGGTTGGGTCTGAAGGAGCGAAGTTCTTGAGATAGTCAGCCAATGCCGTAGCGTCCACCCTCAATACGAACCTATTGCCAAAGAGGTAGTTTTTGAAGATCCTCAAACAGTGAAGAACCGCCAAGGTTTCGCGCTTGAACTGAGAGTGGTTCCTTTCAGACGTATTGAGCGTCCGGCTTTCAAACCTTAGTGGTCGTTTCTCCCTATTGGGATCTCGCTGGATTAACACACCTCCCAGCGCGGTTGGCCCTGCGTGTGTCTCTACGATGAACGGCCTGGTCATCACCGTTGCATGGTCCGGTACCCCCAATACTAGACCTCCTTCCTCAAACTCCTTCTTCAGGTTTTTTATCACCGACTCTTGTCTGTCTCCCCATTCCCAGTCTTGTCCCTGACGCACGAGCTTTCGTAATTGCTCCGTCTTTGTCGCAAACCCCTTAATAAAGATCCTCCAAAACCCACACGTGCCTAGAAAACTTTTCACCTCCGTGATATTCTAGAACGGTGTTGGCCATTCGAGAATCATGTTGGTTTTCTTAGTATCTGGCCGACGACCCCTCTCGTCGCACACTAATCCTAAGATAGTGGCACCACTCATGCAGTGCCTCGATTTTGGCCCACTGGCAGTGAGGTTATACTCCTTCAAGAGATCCAGGACCTTGCACAAGTCTTGCACATGATCCCACACAAAGCGCCTGATTCCTGACACCACCTCCTGCTCGTCCTTCTCTTTGGGCCCTTTCACGGCCAGATCATCAATGTAGGGTTGCGTGATGTGAGGACTTATGGGCTGCATCGCCCTCACCATGTGTCGCTGGACCATAGCGACCGCATTCGTCCACCCCTGCGGTGCGACGTTCATGTGGATCAACCCTCGAGGGGTATGCATAGCTGTCATAGGTCTGTCCGACGGGTACACAGGAAACTGGTCATAGCCTGAATACAAGTCAACGAGTGATATGATGGCCCTCCCGGCGAATGCCTCTGAAAGCGCATCAACGTTGGGGAGACCACCTGCGTCTCTCACTGTCACCGCGTTCAGGCGCTGCAAGTCCTGTACCCACCTCAGTATCCCATTGGGTTTGACAAAACAAAACCATGGGGATGCATACGGTCCGCTCGAGTAATCTGCCACATGAGTGCGGATCTTCCCATCAAGGTAGTTGACCACCTTCTCTTTGTCAGCGGGATTAGGATACCGCGCACCTCGCAAGTTCCACGATTCGTAGGGTACGGTATGTATCCTAATCATTGGGATAATATCCACATCCAGTCGGCCTCTCTCATCATCACTGAAGGCATATGCAGCATGCCTTCCTCTTATGGTGTCCACAATAAATTTCTCCTCCTGCGCCGTAAGAAAGTCAGGTTCCCCTATGATCAGCGCCTTCTCTGTCTCGGCATTGATACGGCATGGTCCACTTTCCGCCCTTTCTCGCATCTGTCATATCAACTCTCGCTCCCGCTCATAGTATACCTCCTGCTCTTCAGTAACGAGTACGGGAACGGGGCGGCACTTTTGGTCTACCCTTTTGTACCGCCTTTGGGCGCCCTGCTTGAGTCCACCCCTAAAAAAGGTCGAGTTACGCTCTGGGGTTGCGCTCCACTCTCTCCACCTGTCTGACCAGGTGTTCGATATACCAATTTCATGTCTCCTGCACCCATTTGCTCCACTACCTTCTCTCTCAAGGCCTCCACAGCCTCGGGGTCCTCCATCCCATAGGTTGACACTATGTCCATAGCATCGCCTATGTTCGCCAAGCTTAGAGTCAGCGCCTCTGGCTCTCTTCTCTCTTCATACTTGCTGGCTTCGATCCTTAGCCTTTCTTCTTCTGACTCTTCAATCGTAAACAAACCGGGGTTGGGCCGGTTCCTTACGCTCTTGGGTCCTGTGTTCTTGCAAGTGATGACCTCGTAGTTCTCGCATACGGGGTCACACAGGACAAGGAACATAGTTTCATCGTGTTTGTTGAGGATGACCGTCTCTGTCCGACTTAGGAACGATCTCCCAAGTAGAATAGGGTGGTCCAAGTCAGGCATCACAAAGAAGCAGCTCCTTACTTTCACCTTTCCGATTTCCAATATTACTGACGATGCGGTCCTAATGAATATCGATCGGCTATTGGCCCCCATCAAAACCCCGTTGTCATAGCGGTCTATCTCCATTCCCAGCCGTATTGCATGTTCCTCCTTTATGAGGTTCATTTCCGCTCCACTGTCCACCATTGCGGTGCACGTCTTTCCTTTTACCACGACGTCGAGGCAGCCACAGGCGACAAACTTCCAGTCCATCTTAGTACCCGTTTCAGCCCACTCAGCCTCCTTAGGGATTATAGTCCCCAATCGTATGCTGGCGACCATCTTCCTAGATAGTCTCGCTCTTAACTCATCCCTAAGTCTAGGCGCTGAGGCCAGGACATCCTTCAGGTTCATAAGATGATTATGACCTTCGAGTATCCTGTCCATTATCTCTTCCACATCGAAGCCTTCTTCCACCCTGACAGCGTACTTCTTCTTCTTTACTTCTTGTGCTTTGTCTGTATCAGGCTTGGCACCCCTCTTCTTGGCCCTTTGCTCGGCCCTCTCATCCTCTTCCTTCCTTAATTTATCATCTTCGTCATCCTCTCCTTCTGGAACGTCCACTACCTCTTTCTCTCCACTGGGTTCAGGAACATCCTTGGCTGGTTCTTCGGGACTCACTGGCCCTTTAGCCCTTGTCCTAACGGCATGAGGCGCCCTCCCCGTCCTGGAGGGTGGTCTAAAAGTCATTCCGGATCGAGGCGTCGCTCCTGAGGTCGTGACGTTTGGTAGATTCCCGGACCCTCCTTGCGACCCCGGACCTAAGTAGTAAAGGTATACCGATGGCTCCTTACCTTGCCACTCCTTGACTTCTTCGCATATATCAGCCAGCTTCTGTTGGTATCTCCCGACTTTATCTATCAGGTCCTTCATTCTCTCCACTGTCTATCAGGAGCTCCAGCCATTTTGACACCCTCTCCCCTTCAAAGTGGAAGATGACAATCTTTGGCACTTGTAGCCGTGCCAACTCCCTTTTCTCGAGTGCCTTGACAAAATCTTCCGGCGTAGCGGCCGGACCCCGCTCGATTCCATCTGCATCCGGCATCTTTACCTCCTTTTGCTAACCAACCTGACAGGAGAAACAAGAGATAGACCGGTAAGCAGTTCGTCAAGTTTCAGAGGGTTTGCCCTACATCCTTCTTGACCACTCTACTTCTAAGTTTAGCTAACCGCTCTACCATTAGTCATTCACGCCCAAGATACAACCTTTAGTTGCACTATATATCGCTCAGTCTTATTATGACTTCATATACAACCCTCTTATATAAGTCAATCCAACCTATAACCTTTGTTGGTTTGCCTGGATCTTCAGCATGCACTTAACCTGGGTTCGTTCTCTTAACGACCCCGGTAGGCAGCCAAGATCCCCGGCAACGACGCCACCTGTCGAGCGCATCGGTCCCGCATGGGGACCCTCCCGCTCGCGTCACGCAGGATTATGCAGGACTTGTCGCGGAGAGCGTTTGTCGCTCCGGTCAAGTGGGCCAGCCGTACCTCTCGCGAGTCCCTACGACAGGACAGAGTCACGCAAGGCACCACTACCTCCACCTGCGGGAGCTGTCACCATCCCTTAGGTGGGCGTATCCCTGCCGAGCTACTGAACCACATGCGAAAGCTTTTTATATGCAATTGCAGAGGTGACCCAGCCGAGGGCGTTTCTCGTTCGCTATAGCATAGGGGGTACGCGCGGTCGAACGCCCGAAATCAAACCCGTACGCGAGTCGTCGTACTGGGGGGCTGAAGTCCCAGACACAATTCGGCGCCGGTCGACTAGGATGCACAACACACCCACGCGTTACACTACAACACCCACGTTTACCCACACATAACATACGGACACACACACAACAATCTCCACAAATAACACCACAACACAACAACACTCATAGTCCCTTCAGTATCCAACCCATAACTCTACGCAGTGGAAGTCGGTAACTGCCTTGCGCGAGGTTTAGTATAAGATCGCGCGAACGTAGGACCCACGCATACCAATTTATAATGCAGTCCTACGCAGATAAAAGCGATGACGGCGCACTATGTGGTGTCCATACCCGAATGGCCTATTCTGGGCCGTGGGGTGGCTCCCGACGCTCAGGCGTTGGCTGAAGCGCACGCTAAGGGGGGGTAACCCTTTAGTGGGCGCGAAATCGGCCTGAGGGTCTTTCCGTCTTCTGCACCCTTAGGTGTCCCAAAGGGTGCGGGGTAAGGCGGCCCCTAGGGCAGGAAGGAATTTGGAGCGGAGGTGAGTTGTCTGGCACATCACCATCGACACGCTAACCCTTCCGCCCGAAACTTTATCGTTCCACCAAAATAAACCCTAACAAGGAAAGGATACAAATACTTTTAGTATTATCAGAAAGAACACCGTCGGGATTAGCCCTGTGGGGGTTTACCCGAATGTCTACTTGGATTATCACCTCAACAGAACGGGGATAGCACAATCTCACTCAAACACAAAGGTTGTAAGGTAGTTCACTCTCACGACAGTCGTGTGGTCTGCCCATCTGAATCCATGCAATACCACTCAACATGAATCAATCGAGACTCTTCCATACATACCTGCAATCACACCACAATATCAAACAAAGATCCACATGCTACGCGGGGTCAATTCCAACCAACCTCTCCACTCATACCCTTCGCTTTAGTTAGACAAGCCCCAACCTCCAGCCAACCAACCATAATTAAGTACACAGTACTTCTGTTAAATGGTCATTCAATAAAAGTCTGGGTGAAACCTTAATGAAACAGATAAAGTCACCAGGGCTAAAGTCTTTTTAGGCTGAGTATTGAGGGTGAATTGGGTTTGAGTCGTAGACCGACGAATCGGCGACCGACCTGTTATCAGTGATAATAGAAGAATGATCCTTTTGACAATTTAGCTTGATCAGATCAAGCGTTCAAATGATAACACAGAAACCTTCATCACAGTACATGCCAAAGGAACGTAGTACTTATGTCTGTGCCAAGGGGAGATCATTCCCCTTAGTCGTACTCTAGCTCCTCTACTAGTACCAATTAGTTGAACACCTCCTTTAATCAGTTAGGATCTGCTAAGTAACTCCTAACTGAAAAATATTCTAAATCCCAAAATTTCACGAAATTCCAGGAGCGCTTCCCGTAGGAAAAGTGTCTTTTCATAATTTATAAGAGCCCAAAAATGACTAACTCTTTCAAATTTGTAAAAATTTCGGCAGCGCTTCCCGTAGGAACAGGAGGCTACCACAATTTATACAAAGCTGAAAAAACAGAAATACAAAGCAACTACACTTGGGACTAACTTTTGACACCTGCCTGATGACTCAGGCTCAATGGCAACCAACACAACCTCTAGCTGAGGCTGTGGGCTAGCAGTGGGCCTAACTCCCAGCAGGGTCAATCTTACCTTCATCCCAAGTTTCTCTCCCATCATCCATCTAGTCAACCTATAGCTCCAACACTTGGTGAGCAACTAAAGCAACTAACCTATCGAAAGGACACCCCAAGTGAGACCCTATAATCATACATGAGCATGCATCTCTCACAATCCCACATACATTTGCCCAAGTAGTTTGTTAGATCACTCAGTTGTTCCCTTTCAATAACCCCCTCACTTATGGCATAGGATCAGACAAGGCCCTAACTTAAGGGTATGTCCAACCTGCCTAAGTAAACAAGTAAAGGTACGCACAACTGGACTGCCCTAACTTAAGGGTATGCCCAACTCCAGATAAACTCTAGTCATAAAGCATATGACCAGACCACCCTAACTTAAGGGTACGCCTGGCTTCTGCTTGAACTGACGACATGAAGCGTAAAGCTAGACTGCCTAACTTAAGGGTATGCCTAGCCAGCTTTACACAAAGTTACATAGGGCATAGGATTAGACTGCCCCAACTTAGGGGTGTGTCTAACCTGCCTAGAACAAGCACGAACGACGAATGGTCAGACCGCCCTAACTTAAGGGTACGYCCAACCTACATCACATCAACGACTGGAGCCTATCACCAGRCCGCYCTAACTTAAGGGYACGCCTGRCTRGYTTAAACAGTTATAGTTACATAAGACAGAATCTGCCTGAACAAGGTACAACGACGTGTGACTAAGCCGCCCTAACTTAAGGGTACRCTTAGCCTCCGTAASRACAGATATATGAAAACAACCAGTAATACTTGCACAAACTTCATRTGTTTCTYTCTTATTAGGCGGGTGATCAGACCTACCCAACTTAGGGAGACATCCAATCCTGCCTTGCGTTTAGAAGGGAAAATAAAACAARCTTATACYAACTCTCTGATCCTTTGTCTTGTCATGAGCATAAGACCGAGCCGCCCTGACTTAAGGGTACGYTCAGCCTGCCYTGGTTACCTTCGTTATATTCTTCAYCACTTTTCTCCTYTTCTTGTTCTACCTGACTTACTGACTGGYTTTCCCAACTTAGGGTGYCYGGTCTGCCAGATGATATARGTTCGTATAATAATATCAAAGTTGTATACTTTGGTTGGCCTTAGTGTTCATGRCTTATGACTGAGCCGCCCTAACTTAAKGRTACGCTCAGCCTCACACYGGTGTCCCCCTYAGAAAAAMACACACACAGAACTGAGTCCACGCAACTTARAGWRTCCCCAGTCMTGTTTTCAGCAACCCACAAAAAAACACYASGACTCTGAGACCTCCCAACTTAGGGTGTYCATCCTCCTGTTCAGAAACCCCMAAAAAACARCGACTGGTCCGTCCAACTTAGGATAGGCCYARCCCTCAAATCCATTSAGTCWGCCCAGCAAACATGAATAAAGCACAACACTRAGCCCACATCAACTTAGAGGAGYTCAGCCTTGGGTTGACCCAGTCAACGCATGCAATCCACCTTCATCCCACCTTCCCCCAATTCAATTTGTTTGACTTCACTCAAAAGTTATCTGATCTCTCATATGTACTTGTTCATTTAACCTTTTACAAAGCATGTCCTGACATASAWAGCAAAACAAAAAGTACTATCCTTACATGTACATATTCAGATACCCAAGGATAGGAGATAGGGGAAAGGATCACACGCGTCATACGAGATTATACCTGAAGTTCCCAGCCTCCAGAAGCCCGTCTGGGCTCCGGCAGAGCTCCCGCAATCGGTGGGGCAACCTCCCACAGAGGCCTTGGCGCGGACCTACGGGTTGCAATCCCGCCTGCCGCCTTCCTCTCGTAACCAAAGACCAGACTGAGAGTAAGAAGGATAGAAGCAGAAATGGTAGACTCTCATATATAAGAGGGGGTCAACTCAAGCTCATTGGAGAGGGCCTTGTAACCTTTAACTCCAGAGGGCCCCGCAATGATGGCTAATGAAACACAGCAGAGGTAGCCAAGTCTCGATCAGATGCAGAATACCGGCCCCCCGACTACCCTCCAAGTCGCGGTGATAGCCTTATGCAAGGTCTGTCCCCCCCCCCCCGACTCCACAGTCGTGCGCAGTTAGTGTATAGCGAGAAACACACCAAACCATCAACGTGGGTACAGCAGAGTACCAGGTGTACAGCCAGGTGGCACCGCAACAGCTTCACGAAGGCGGAGCAACACACAGTCCAGTTACTAAATAGCCCGACCCAGTCCGCAGTGATGATTGCTGCAACAGCCCCAATAGGGTCCGCCGCAGTACCAACAAAGTTCCGCAACCTTTCTTTGTCCCCGGCCCTCTTACCGGCGTCCAGCCTGAGTGTGGGTTTGTAACAGATGCGTACCGCCGGGAACGCCATAACAACAGGCT